CCAGCCAGAGCGGCGCTAACTCCTGGTTTCCAGAACCCGGGCGGTGGCAGCAGCGGCAGCTCGGGCCCGGCACTTGTGCCGAGCAGAAGTGACAGGACCAGGGGGTGGGGTTGGTGCCGGCACGTCCGAGCCAGAGAAGGAAGGGGACCTCCCAACCGGGATTCCACTGCTCGCGGTAGTCGCCGGCTGTCGGGGGAGGTGGCACCGAGCTGGTAATACCGGTGGGGGCAAACATGTGCACGAACAGCTAGAGGCCTCGGGGCAGGTGAACATTTGGTCCAAGTGTAGCGAGGCAAGGACTGTGTCTGGGACCATGACAGCCTCCCGCCTGGACTTCGGGGAGGTGGAAACTTTCTTGGACAGACACCCAGAGTTGTTTGAAGATTATTTGATGCGCAAGGGGAAGCAGGAGATGGTGGAAAAGTGGCTACAGAGGCGCAATCAGGGTCAGGGGGCTTTAGGCCCGGGGCCCGCTTTGGCTGGCACCAGCAGCCTGGCTCACAGCACTGGCACTGGCAGAAGTGGCAGCAGCGCTGGTGATGGCACTGGACCAAATGACTCTGCCAACTGCCAGCCTGCTCCTGGTGGCGGGGACTGTGGTGGGGTGCCCCTGAGTCCTGCCTGGGCCAGTAGCAGCCGGGGAGATGGGAGCCTACAGCGGAGAGCTTCTCAGAAGGAGCTAAGGAAGAGTTTTGCCCGCTCCAAGGCCATCCATGTGAACAGGACCTACGATGAGCAGGTGACCTCCCGGGCCCAAGAGCCCCTGAGCAGTGTCCGGCGGAGGGCCCTTCTCCGGAAAGCCAGCTCCCTGCCCCCCACCACAGCCCACATTCTCAGTGCACTGCTGGAATCAAGAGTGAATCTGCCTCAGTACCCCCCTACGGCCATCGACTACAAGTGCCACCTTAAAAAGCATAACGAGCGTCAGTTCTTCCTGGAACTGGTCAAAGACATCTCCAATGACCTTGACCTCACCAGCCTAAGCTACAAGATCCTCATCTTTGTCTGCCTCATGGTGGATGCTGATCGCTGCTCTCTCTTCCTGGTGGAAGGGGCAGCTGCTGGCAAGAAGAGCCTGGTTTCCAAATTCTTTGATGTGCATGCAGGAACCCCACTGCTGCCTTGCAGCAGCACAGAGAACTCAAATGAGGTGCAGGTCCCCTGGGGCAAAGGCATCATTGGCTATGTCGGGGAGCATGGAGAAACGGTCAACATTCCTGATGCCTACCAGGTAGGACTTTGCATTGTCCTGTCCTCCCATTGCCCCACTGGCTTGGGAGGGAAGTCTCAGTTACCCTTTGACATCCAAGAACACATTAATTTAGACTCTTTATAGTACAAATCTTGTTACTTAAATTCTGTTATGAGTTTAGACTTGTGAGAATGTTACTACACTATCTTTGAAGTAATGGTCTTAACACACAGTGGCTTTTGGGAAAATTACATATCACTCAATAATACCACGTATGGTTTTGAAATGCATTTATTAGTTACTAGGACAGGATGTTTACTCCATAATTCCCATCCTAATCTGAACAAAATAGGCAGTTTAGTGTCTCCAATGTTTTTTGCTGGGAATAGAATGCATTTTCACTCTAATTCAAGTTGAACAAGGGAACAGAGTGCCTGACTACTTCCTTATCCCCTTCTCTAGTTTAAAGTTGCATGAGTTTAAAAAAAGTAGGGAAAAAGGCAAGACAGGAGGAATGTCAGGGGAATGATGAGGCTTAGACCCATTCGTGACTTCTTAGCATGTCTTTTAACTGTTTATGTTGCTAAGGTTGGAAAGACTGGACCAATAAAGGGACAAGTTATCTTTAGGCTTGAATGCAGGCATTGTCTATATTTGGCTTTTGACTGGACTTAACATGTAGGTCTTGAGTTTGTGAAACAAACAGAAGTGTTGGTCATTTTTTAGCAGCTCCAAAGGCAATCAACAAGACAAACATGCTCGTTTCAAGTGGAAAAGAAAACCCAATGTACTGTCATCCGGTTTTTCTAAACTCTTCATTTTCACAGTAATTTGAACTTGACATTAGATGCTGGATCTGAAAGCCGGTCAGTTCTAATTTCTTCAGTATCTATTCACAGAATGTGATTAAATTGGATGTCACTTTCTATGAGACTTTAGGGTTCATAAGAATTGTGAGTTCTTATCCTTGATTATGAAAGTTTTGTAGTCATTTGATGAATACTTTTTCCAGTTGTCTTATAGAGCTACATTTTTCTCTAGAGTTGGTTGCTATTGACTAGAACAACAAAACTGGTGGGAAGGACACTAAGGTAAACTATTTTCTATTTCATATGAGAGCTGAAAATTTTATGTAGAAAATGGACTAGCTTGTATTGAAACCAAGTTTGATATTTCATGAGCTACCTGTCAATATCATACTTCAATATTAAGGGATGCCTGTCAAGATACCACTTTCATTAACCATTTGTTATCAATTAGGTACTTTCTTTATTATGTCCTTCTCAAAGACTTTAATAGATTTAGATCAAGCAACCAATTAATGATTTCAACAAGTGTCTATTTCTTTACAGTCCTAGAATGCCACGTGAAACAATAAAAGCATTTCAGATTCTATTTTTAAAGTGATGAACAATTGCAAATTCTTTTCTCTTATTTCCACATTATTCTTGTATACTTGGGCTAAAATAATTCCCTCCTAGTTGATACTTGCTATAGCCTGGAATTGCAGTGTTTCCTCTTCATTGCCTTTACTTTTCAGATTCTTCCCCAGTTGACTTTCTCCTATTTATATAGCGTTTATTTCTTACTGTCTTCTTTCAGCTTCTAACTTTTATTGAATACTGTTTATATAATGTCCTTTCTTCAAGAGCATAATTTCTGGCCTTCTCAGCAGTTAACTTGTCTACCCGCTGCCAAGAATTGTGACCATAGGTGTTACCAGAGGCATAGAAAATCAGGTTTTCTGTTCTGTTGCTTCCTGTAAGGGTTCTACCCTTACTCTGCAGTCAGACTGCAAGGCAAAATCCCCTTTTAATATTTGGAAGCTGACACTGGGAAAGGGGAGTTTGTTTCTTTTTTTTTTCCCCTGGGGTAGTAATAGTGGCTATAAATCAGACTGTATTGTTAGAAAGACTGAAAACAGTCAGGTGGGGAAGGTGCTGTAAAGGGTGGGAGTTTAAGATCTTGGTTCACCTTGCTTTTATTTCTATCTGGTCAGAGTTTCTTTTTCCTTTCTTCATTGGCTTCTACTACATATTTCTGTATTTTTAACTGTTTTTCTTTATTTTATTCATGCTACTTTTCTTTGATAAAATTACCTCTTTTCTTTATTATGTTACACTACAGTCACCATTATTGTGACTTTGGGATATCTCTTAATCTCTCAGAGTCTCAATTTTCACATCCACAAAATGGGAATAATAACACCTACCTGGCAAAGATTATTGTTGTGAAAGTAAAATGAGAAATTGCATAAAAGCTCCTAAAATACTACCTGGCACATTACAATGACCAAAAATATAATCACAGTTTTTAGTGATGATATCTAGTTTGCTATATATTTTTTTTCTTATCTCATTTTCAATAGTTTCTCATCTTATCTGGCACTGATATATAAATTCAACATATTTTGACCAGCCTAATCTTTCCCTGAGCCACATCTACCCTTAAATTAAGTATTTTATCCAAGCAATATAGAAATATCTCTCCTTCCGCTTTCTACTTAAGATTCCCCTAAATGTGATTGATAATGCCTGACTATATACTAGCCTATCAAAAGTTCTATACTTGGTTCCACTTTGTAACTGACACAATGTCAACTTTTCAGAGTTGTGTTAATGTTATATCCTTCTCTAAGTCTAGCATTTTCCCTCATTCTTTCCATTCC